AAAAAAAAAAAATAGAAAGACCAAAGACTGAGAAATGCAAATGCTATGAAAAAAGTAGTTTTTCCAGTCAGAAAGTATTAGTTGGAATCATATTGAATTTTGAGTAAGAATGACTTGAATCCTTATTTTTTCTGATGTGGTTGAATTTTGAATTGGAAATTGGCATGCCCTCAACATGTTGATTCAGAAGAATACATATGAGATAAATGTAAGGTTTTTGGCTGAATTATTTTTGCTTCTGCTCTTAAGAATTTGCATAGGCACTATATTATTCATGAATACAAATTTCAAACTTTAACTGAGACAAGAAAGTAGAAGAAAGAGAATTATGATAGCATAACTAGGCTTATGAGTTTCATATATCTACTCCGAACAGGATGTTGCCTGTTTCTTTATTGCATAACACCAGGAGGTGCTGCATTAGCAACAGTGAGTGCTATTGTTGTTCATAGAACTCTTTTTGCATATCTTACCTTTTTGTGGCCTTTGGTTACTGTTTGTGTGTAATAACAAAAAGTAGGTATAACTAGGTCTGCTACTATTTCTAGTTACAAATTGTATTGCTTAAATTTCAAACTTGATAACCTTTATTGCATCATTTTAAGCTTTTAAAAATAGAGGTTTTAGGGCCAGCCCCGTGGCTCACTCGGGAGAGTGCCGCGCTGGTAGTGCCAAGGTCGCGGGTTCGGATCCTATATAGGGATGGCCGGCGTGCTCACTGGCTGAGTGTGGTGCGGACAACACCATGCCAAGGGTTGCGATCCCCTTACAGGTCAAAAAAAAAAAAAAAAAATAGAAGTTCTTTTGTGATGAATCTATAATATATTGATGAATTCCCATAAGTAGTCAAGTAATTCACTTTAACCAATATTTACTGAACACCTAAGGTACCAGGTATAGGGGCACTTGAATTAACTACAGAGAATCAGAGGAGCAAATCTTTAAACAAATTATAGCAATGCAGTTGCATAGGCAAGCCCAAAAAACTGAGAAAGGACTGAGCTTGGTGTGTTCCAGAAACAGGTAGAAGACCACTATAGTTTGAACAGGAGAGGTGTTTGGAGGGGAAGACGGAAGACTGATAATGTAGGGCCAAAGTAATGAGTTTGTATAATATTCTGAATCAGTCAAGGAGCCTTTGGGAGGCTTTTAAAGCTGTAGCATGATCTGATGTAGATATTTAAAAAGATCACCTTAGATGCTTTATGGGGAATACAGAGTAAGTAAGCGTTCATCTCCAATTTGATGAGGGAGATGAAGAGCATACAAAGTTAAAATAGTACTCAATTTTTTGGCTTGAATGAATGAGTGGTTACCGTTAAACAAGATGATTATTAGAGAGAAGAAAAACATGTCAAAAATGTGGAGGGGAGAAGATGATGAACTCATATTTGACATAGTTGAAGCCGTGGACAAGGTTGAAGTATTACAGGATCTGTGTAAAATCAGAGGAGAAGAAAGCCAAGGTTCTCATATTGGGGAATATCTATATTTATGTGATAGGCAGAGGTGTGGGAGTCAGAAAAAGGAAAGATTTGTAAGAGAGTGAGACCATCATGGAGAAAGTGGATCACAGATGTGGATCGTTAATCCTTAGGGTAGATGTAGCTGTTGGAGCTGTGGTATTTGCACTAATGCAGCAAATTAGGGCAAACTAAAGTGAGCAGAATGTGGCAGATGCTGTCAAAAGCTACACCTCCAGCTAGTTGGACTACTGGAATGAGGAAGTTATGATAATTAGATGGGCATTCACAAGCTGTATGTGAACATCTCTGTAGAGTGATAGCGTGTTAAGGAATCATCGAGAAATGCAGCTATACATTCAGTTATGAATGATCTTTCTAGGAGCATCCTGTTGAAGCAAAAAAAAAAAAATAGCTTGAGAAGAAGGTGGGATTGAGCGCAATTTTTCATGTGGGGAAGTGGAAAGAGAAGGAAAGAGTGGAGGGAGAGAAGAGGATCCAGAGGAACAGAGAGATAAGTGATGGTGTCAAGTCCTAAAGAAAGTTGCAGAGGAGGAAAATTTTGAAGTCTGTGGAAGGTGTAATATTTGAAAAGGATGGAGATACATTTGCCTTTGTGTCATATCAGAAGGGGATATGATTTGGTGAAGATGTGGGTATTCAAAAGTGGATTAAATAGAAATTGGAAGAATTCAAATCAATATAATAACTTCAGAATTTTAGATCTTATTATTGTGCTCTTTTTCATGTGATTCTCCAACGGTTCCCTTGTAACAAAAGAAAAATTC